TGAGTTAATGATGCACACTGAGTGAATGTGGACTCACTCTTCCTTCTCTCTTCTGAAATGTTGAGAAAATGCTGAATTGCTCACTAATACTTCAGTGAGAGTGGAATTACTTTTGGAATTCACAAAGAGATGTAGAAGTTTTGTGTGAACGTGGGTGTGATGGTTAAAATTGTGTCAGCTTGGCTGGGCCATGATTCTCAGTGTTTTAATGTGATCACTCCCATGATTGAATGTACTGTGAGGAGCCAATCAGATGAAAGGGAGTCTCCTTGGGGGTGTGGCCCGCATCTGAATATAAGCAGACCTTCTGGCTTTTTGCTCTCTCTCCATCCTGCGGCTGCCTCCTGTCGTCTCATCTCCGGTACTTGGGACTTGAGCTGTCAGCTTATCTGACGAACTTGGGATTCATCAATCTGCAAAGCCTGTGAGCGGGAGCTCTGCTCTCTGACCTGCTGATCTTGGGCTTGCCAGCTTCTGTGGCTGCTTGACGTGGGAGAGGCCTCTACCCTGATCCACGGACTTGGGACGTTCTAGCCTCTACAATCGCATGAGCTGTTTCCTTGATATAAATCTCTCTATATATTTATACACTTTACTGGTTTTGCTTCTCTAGAGAACCTAGCCTAAGACAGTGGGTGAGAAAGGAGCAGTGAACATCTGGATTCCACATACAGTGTTAAAATGGACATCCTTGTACGTTACTTTCAAGCTCACAATAGAGTGAGCTAGGAAGGCAACATTCTTTTAAAGGGAAGTTGTCCACGGAAAACAGTCATTTGTACTGCTGGCACCGCTGAAACTGGAATGGGGCTCTTGCTGCCAGAATCTCTGCCACTCACTACCTCCACTGTCACCTGATGGACTCAGTATAGTCTCTGTTTTTACAACACTAGCTCCTGATGAGGTCTGGCATGAGTATGCAGGAGAAGTAAACTGGAAACATAACTATCTGGCTTCTATAGTCTATAGTGGGAGTGGTTGCTGTGACTTTTTCTCCAACCGAGACTCATAAGGTAGGGTCTGCCCCATCATAGAGAGGGGAATTGGATGTTGGGCAGGCACACAAAATACACACAAAACCAAACCAAACCATCAGAACCAAAATCAAACATAAAATTTCTACAAAATTTACTCATCTTGCTCCATGTATTAAGATTTATTAATTTTAAGTGTTATGTTGTATTTCATCATATGGCAGAAACATGGTTTATGTGTTCTTTCCTTTACTGAGGCACAGCTAGGTTATTTCTACTTGGATGTTACAGACAGTGCTACAGTTGTCATCTGTAGGTGTATCCTTGTACATATCTAAGGTAGATAGCTAGTAGTGAAATTGTTGGTTTGCATGTTATGAACTTTTTTTTTTTTTAACTAAGCTAAATTATTATCTGGGGCTGGCACTATTGGTTATCCAGAAGTCTTCCTTTCATTCCTTCCTTGTCAGCAGAACCCCAGTTTTGTTCAGATATCAGAAGGCTATGTGTTTCTCATGGGGCTGTGTCCCTACCAAAATCAAGGAGGTAAGTCATAAATGTTCCAAACTAATTATGGTATTCCAAATACCTTTGCCAGTGACTGGTTGTCATGGTCATGTGATGCAAATCTATACCAGATGAATGGAATGTGAAGGGAATTATGTTGGGGGTTTCCAGGAAAGTATTTTTTTCCCCTGATTCATTCATTCTTTCAGCAAAAATTATTTGATGACTATTTTATGGTAAGCATTGTTCTAGGCTCTCTTGGAGCTTATATTCTAATTGGTGGGGAGAGGAATACAGAGGCAATAAACAAACAAAAAAAGTACAATATAACAGGTGCTAATAACTGCTATCCCCCATGCGTCTGTCAGTTTGTCATACCGTAGGGGCTTGCATGCTCCTGTGATACTGGAAGCTATGCCACCAGTATTCAAATACCAGCAGGGTCACCCATGGCAGACAGGTTTCAGCTGAGCTTCCAGACTAAGACAGACTAGGAAGGAGGACCCGGCAGTCTACTTCTGAAAAGAATTAGCCAGTGAAAACTTTATGAATAGCAGCGGAACATTGTCTGATATAGTGCCAGCAGATGAACCCCTTAGGTTGGAAGGCACACTAAAGTATGACTAGGGAAGAGCTGCCTCCTCAAAGTAGAGTTGACCTTAATGACGTGGATAGAATCAAGCTTTCAGGACCTTCATTTGCTGATGTGGCACAACTCAAAATGACAAGAAATAGCTAGCTGCAAATATCCATTAATTATCGGAATGTGGAATGTACAAAGTATGAATCTAGTAAAATTGGAAATCATCAAAAATGAAATGGAACGCATAAAGATCAATAATCCTAGGCATTAGTGAGCTGAAATGGACTGGTACTGGCCATTTTGAATTGGACAATCATATGGTCTACTATGCTGGGAATGATAACTTGAAGAGGAACGGCATTGCACTCATCGTCAAAAAGAACATTTCAAGATCTATCCTGAAGTACAACACTATCAGTGATAGGGTAACATCCATATGCCTACAAGGAAGACAAGTTACTACAACTATTATTCAAATTTATGCACCAACCACTAAGGCCAAAGATGAAAAAATTGAAGATTTTTACCAACTTTTGCCATCTGAAATTGATCAAACATGCAATCAGGTTGCATTGATAATTAATGGTGATTGGAATGTGAAAGTTTGAAACGAAGAAGGATCCATAGTTGGAAAATATGGCCTTGGTGATAGAAAGGATGCCGGAGATTGCATGATAGAATTTTGCAAGCCTAACAACTCTTCGTTGCAAATACCTTTTCTCAACAACATAAATGGCAATTATACATGTGGACCTCACCAAATGGAGTACACAGGAATCAAATTGACTACATCTGTGGAAAGAGACAGTGGAAAAGCTCAATATCATCAGTCAGAACAAGGCCAAATGCCGACTGCAGAACAGACCATCAATTGCTCATATACACGTTCAAGTTGAAACTGAAGAAAATTAGAAGAAGTCCATGAGAGCCAAAGTACAACCTTGAGTATATCCCACTTGAATTTAGAGACCATCTCAAGAATAGATTTGATGCGTTGAACACTAATGACCGAAGACCAGACGAGTTGTGGAATGACATCAAGGACATCATACATGAAGAAAGCAAAATATCATTAAAAAGACAAGAAAGAAAGAAAACACCAAAATGGGTGTCAGAAGATACTCTGAAACTTGCTGTTCAATGTTGAGTAGCTAAAATGTAAGGAAGAAATGTTGAAGTAAAAGAATTGAACGTAAGATTTCAGGGCACCTTGAGAAGACAAAGTATTATAATGATATGTGCAAAGACCTGGAGATAGAAAACCAAAAGAGAAGAACATGTTTGGCATTTCTCAAGCTGAAAGAACTGAGGGAAAAATTCAAGCCTTGAGTTGCAATACTGAAGGATTCTATGGGGAAAGTATTAAATGACGCAGGAGGCATCAAAAGAAGATGGAAAGAAAACCACAGAGTCACTATACCAAAAAGAATTGGTTGACCTTCAGCCATTTCAGTAGGTAGCATATGAGCAGGAACCAGTGTTACTGAAGGAAGAAGTCCAAGCTGCACTGAAGGCATTGGTGAAAAACAAGGCTTCAGGAATTGACGGAGTACCAACTGAGATGTTTCAACAAATGGATGCAGTGCTGTAAGTGCCCACTCATCTGTGCCAAGAGATTTGGAAGACAGCTACCTGGCCAACTGACTGGAAGAGATCCATATTTATGCCTATTCCCAAGAAAGGTGATCCTACCAAATGCGGAAATTACTGAGCAATATCGTTAATATCACAGGCAAGTAAAATTTTGCTAAAGATCATTCAAAAGCAGCTCCAACAGTACATCGGCAGGGAACTGCCAGAAGTTCAAGCCGAATTCAGAAGCAGCTGTGGAGCCAGGGATATCATTGCTGATGTCATATGGATCCTGGCTGAAAGCAGAGAATACCAGAAAGATCTTTACTTGTGTTTTACTGTCTATGCAAAGACATTCGACTGTGGATCATAACAAATTGTGGATAACATTGGGAAGAATGGGAATTCCAGAACACTTAATTGTGTTCGTGAGGAACCTGTACATAGATCAAGAGGCTGTTGTTCGAACAGAACAAGGGGATACTGCGTGGTTTAAAGTCAGGAACGGTGTGCATCATGGTTGTATCCTTTTATTATACCTATTCAATCTGTATGCTGAGCAAATATTGTGAGAAGCTGGACTATACAAAGAAGAACAGGGCATCAGTATTGGAGGAAGACTCATTAACAACTTAGGATATGCAGGCGACACCTTGCTTGCTGAAGGTGAAAAGGACTTGAAGCACTTACTGATGAAGATCCAAGACCGCAGCCTTCATTATGGATTACATCTCAGCATAAGGAAAACAGAAATCTTCACAACTGATCAACAAGCAACATCATAATAAACGGAGAGAAGATTGATGTTGTCAAGCATTTCATTTTACTTGGATCCACAATCAACACCCATAAAAGCAGCAATCAATAAATAAAAAAATGCATTGCACTGGGCAAATCTGCTGCAAAAGACCTCTTTAAATTGTTAAAAAACAAGGATGTCACCTTGAAGACTAAGGTGTACCTGACCCAAGCCATGGTGTTTTCCATTGCCTTATATGCATGTGAAAGCTGGATGATGAATAAGGAAGACCAAAGAAGAATTGACACCTTTGAATTGTGGTATTGGAGAAGAATATTGAACATACATACCATGGACTGCCAAATGAATGAACAAATCTGTTTTGGAAGAAGCATGACCAGAATGCTCCTTAGAAGCAAGGATGGCAAGACTTCATCTCACATACTTTGGACATGTTATCAGGAGGGATCAGTCCCTGGAGAAGAACATCATGCTAGGTAAAGTAGAGGGTCATTGAAAAAGAGGAAGCCCCTCAGCGAGAGGGAATGACACAGTGGCTGCAACAATGGCCTTAAGCATAACAACGATTATGAGGATGGCATGGGACCGGGCACTGTTTGGTTCTGTTGTACATAGGATCGCTATGAATCAGAAACTACTGGACAGCACCTGACAACAATAACAACAATAACTGCTATGAAGAAAAATAAATTCTAGGAAGAGGGATAGGGAGCTTAAGAGCTGAGGTTACTGTTTTATATTAGATGGTGGGGGAAGGTCTCTCTGATAAGGTGGCATTTGAATGGATACATAAAGAGGGAGTTATCTGGGGAAAGAGCATGTCAGTTAGATAGAACAGCAAGGGCAAAGGCTCTGAGGTCCAAGTGATCTAGGCATGTCAAGAAACAGCAAAAGGATCAGTGTGGCTGGAATAATAATCTGATGTACATTCTAAAAGATGACTCTGGTTGTTGTGAGGAGAATGGACTGTAGGGGCCAAGAGTGGTAGCAGGGAGACCAGTTATGGAGGCCACTATAATAATCTAAAAATAAGAAACTTTTCTGCCTAAGGATATTTTAATTTACATGTAACAGTCAGAACTACAGCAGCCATCTTGGGACCAGGAGATGAGCTAGCCCAAGACGAAAAGAATGTGGACCTTATATGACATAAATTAACCAACACCAGAACTGCTCATGTCGAGACCTCTTATTTGAAAAAAATAAGTTTACCTTAATGTTTAAACTGTTTTGAATTGGGTATATCCATTAGCATCTAAACAGATTCTTCAAAGTGATTTTACTTATGTGCACTCCAGCCAGCAAATGATGACTCTTCCTTCCTTGCACATAGCCAGCACTTGTTCTTATCAGTAGTTCATTCCCACTCACAGGTGTAAGATTGTATTTCATTGTTCTAAGTTGCATTTTCCTGATTACTAGTGAAGTTTAACATGTGAAAGTCTTTGAAATGCCCCCTTTCCCCCACTGCCCACCCGCTAAAAAAAGAAAATGACTGGGTGTTCTGTGTAGTGCAACTTCTGGGTTTCCTCAGCTTTTCATTGTCTTTGAGCTGTTTTACAACTCTTTAAGTTATAGAATACTTCTAGTAATGCAAATGATTCTTGTTCATAGAAATGAAAATTGTGTCATGGAGATGCAGTTGAGTACTGCTCTATAGATACTGAACAGTTTTACATTTATTAAGCAAATTATTTTTAGTATTCTTGATTACCTGTATACCCTCTCCTCTTGAAGAGTAATAGTCATTTGATGTTGTTTGTTGATAAGCTGAACATTTAAAATGGATTTGCAACATTTATCTTCCTGGGCAAAGAGCTTCCTGAAATAGTAAGGTCATGGTGATGAAGAGAATGGAGTTGTAATGTCGTGTTAGTGAAGACAGTAAGGGATGTGGGTGCAGATGGTTTAGTTCTCAGGCCTGATTTCTGAGCTCTTTCCTTTTGGATTATGATGAAATTTCATTTAGCAAGAAGTTTAACCTATCCCCATCCAAATTCTTATTTAATTTTAATATTGCCCCAATCTTTCAGTAAAGGAATTACTGCGTTCCATCCCCTTACCAAAGTCTGTGAAGAGGGAGCTTCATTTCCACAGGAGAGTTTTGGGTGTTAATCTGATTGATCAGAAACTGAGACGTCTATGAGACCACATTGAATATGTGCGTGTGTGTATGTTATTATGCTATGTAGTCAGAAACCAGACTTCAGATTTTTGGTCTATTTGGTCAGGTCTTTCTTGCTCCCTTGCACTGAATATTCCTTGGAAAGGACCTCTTTCTAAGAAAAGTCCAGTCATATTCATACTCTCAGATCAGGTCCTTGTCCACATGGGTGGTTGGATCAATGGACTCAAATTTGTTCTGCTGTGCAGGCATTCGGATTCAGAGGAGGAAAAAGGAGAAGTTTCCCTTAGGCTTCCAGGCCCATGTCTTATGTCCTAGCAACACTTACCACGGAAGCCGTACATTGGAGAGTGCTGGATTCATGCTGAAAATACTCCCATTTATCACTCCGGAACATTCTCCATCCTTTCCATTCTGCTCTGTACACTGGGAAGCTGATCTGCATTGTCTGTATCAGTCTACTCCCTTGCCTGTCTGTTCAGCTAATAGGAAGCACCACCATGAGATTTGACGGAGGGAAGAGAATGAGCTGAGGTATTTATTCTCACAGCTCCCTCCTTGATGGTCCTCGGTGTGCTGGTTGCATCCCTTAACTGAATGCCACAGCTCCTGTTAAGTGGCCCTCTCCAAACAGTTCTTTCCATCTCTGGGCTCTGGAAACAGTTCTCTCCTTTTGTTCCTATGGGCATAGGCGTGGAAACAGCTCTACTAGCCCTGAGACACTGCACTATCTCTTGTGATGTCCTTATACATTGTCCACACTTCTGTAAAGAGTCCCTTTTTCTTAAACTCTACTAAAATTATCCAAGTTGAGCATGCCATCCCTTACCTTTTGGGGCCCTGATCAACGCAGGGCTTTGCTGAGTTGTTAATGTAGCTGATATTTTGTTTCACATTTGATCGTTGTCAAGTGATGCCTGTCAAGTGTTTGATAAATATTTGCAGAATGAATGATTGACCAAATGCTTGAGTGGCAAGATTTAAACTCCAGCCCCTCTTCTCCAAACTTCCAATGTATAGCTGAGCATTCACATATAAAATAGAAATGCCTGAAGTACTCTCAACCCAATGAACAGGCATAGGTTCTGGGGCTCCAGTTTCCAGGGGCCTCCACTTCCATGGATTTGCCCTAGTGACTCATGCCAGGTGTTCTCCTTCCAAGAGGAGCAAGATCAACGGATATAAAGAGCATCTGAAATACACAGAAATGGTAAGGATATTATGTCCACCAAATGAAAAGTAAAGTGATTTTTTTCAACTCAGAAACAGATTCTGTGGTTTAGACCACATGAAAGATTTCACTTGTGTCTTAAAGAAACCATATTAAGTGAATGCAAGTTATAGCTACCAGTTATGAATATTTAAAGTTTATTTGACTTTTATTATAATTATTATTGTATTAATCATCATAATATTATCATACATAAGAGGTAAGTTTGATATAACTACCTTATAATTATATCTGTGGTTACTATCAGTTTCACAACTACAGACTGCAGTGGTTCTTGACATTTATTATAATTAAATTTCTGCTGTGCAGCTGTTTAGAGGAGCCCCTTCAAATTGTGAGATGTGACCTGTGACCTTTGACTTGCAGATCTCTAGGGATACTCTATCCTTTTGGAATATGGCTTCACAGATGGAGCTCAAATAAATACCAAGCAGAACAGTCCCAGGCTCCCCCACAGTGCCTAGCTCTAAGGGATTTCCTAGTTGTTTATAAACTTATCCATATTATAACTCCTTAAGGAGAGAAATTCCACGAGCTTTCTCCCTGGATTTCCCAGCAAGAAAGCAATCCAGGGTGAATTGTTATAATATACTTCCTCTTGGCGCAGGGCTCCCCCTTTGATGATCTCCAGGGCACATTTATCCTTTGGAGCTGGGTCGATATCAACTATTCCAGAAATTGCCCTCATAGCTGTTTCTGTAGAATGACAAGGGAAGAGTGAAGTTATCAAAAACTAGTACAGTCTACATGATGGAAGACCTGCAGACACCAGCGGCTTAACTTCCAGGGACTGTTTGCCAATGCTTGTTCATCACTGTTGGGAACTCATAGAGAAGACTGGGTATGTTTAGGGCCTGTGTGACAAAGAGAGGCTGTAGTGTTAATGTGGGCCTGTCTTCCCAGATGAAGATTTGCCAGGGTAGTTAGAGGTAATTAGCTGGGAGATTTGAATCATGTTGTTTTTGGTGTTTTGGCTGGGAGGAATGTGGGGTGCCAAAATGAGGGCAGAAGTCACATGATGAACCAGGAGCTAATGGGCAAAAACAGAGTGCTGTCTAATAATGACTTACAACTTATAAAAGGAAGAGATGGACAAAAATGCAGACTTTTGGTCCCTTGTCAACACTAGTTACTTCATTTGGAAGGTAACTATTGTTACCTTCTCTTTCCTTCCAAGTTTTCATGTCCTCTCTCTCTCCATCTCTTTCTTGTCTCTCACTCTCTGTCTCTGTCTCTCTGCCTGTCTCATTTTTTTTTTTTTTTTTTTTTTTTACTACTACTCAGTTACTGTTTAAATGAAGTTTTCTTACAATCAGTACCTGCTGAATGTTTTAGATAAACCTGTATTTGGACTGAAAAGTTGCAAAAATTGTACAAAATGTTCCCTTATATCCCTCACCCTGCTTCCCCTAATCTTAACATCATATATAACCCTTGTGTAATTATCAGGAACAGTTATAATAACTAAACTACAGTCCTTATTTTTTCACTAATGCCCCCTTTCTGCCCCAGAATCCTATCCAAGATTGCATTTAGTTATTTCTCCTCCGTCTCCTCCAGCTTGTGACAGTTTTCTTAGTCTTTTATTGTCTCTTGTAGCATTGACACTTTTGAAGAATACTCATCAATTGTTTTGTAGCATGTCCCTCAATTTGGGGGTGTCCAGTGTTCTGTCATGATTGGGGTGAGATTATGCATTTTTGGCAAGAACACACAAAAATGTTGCTGTGTCCTTCTCCATGCAGCATATCAAGGGTTTCATGATATTGATATGTCTATTACTGGTGATGTTAATCTAAGAAACACAAACTTGTATTTGGTAAATCTCATATAGAAAAGTAATGGCCACTGAGCGTCCATGAGGATGTAAGGTGTTCCAAGAGGGGTTAGGTGATGAGTGTGGTGTCACCTAGCATACTCGATGGTCAGAATAGAAAGGAGGGTCAAAGAGTGGTCAGAAGTTCCACTAGTGACAGAAACCCTTCATTAAAGGAGAGGACTAGTGCTTTCTCTTTCTCTCACATGTTTTTAGTGTATTATCCATGAGTCAGAGTTCAGCACCCTTCTTTACCCACAGTGGTAAGACAGGCAATTCATTTGCTGGCCCTTGACTCCAATGTCTTGACCTTACCTGTGTTTATGAGGCCGAGAACACAGAGAGTGATTGACACATTGACTTTGGTCACTGAATATTCTGTCCTGATGGAGGAGAAGAACCCGTCCAGAGCAAACTTGCTTGCAGAATAGGGAGCAATCAGTGGATTAGCCACTTTCCCTAAATGACAGATTAAAGAGATGGGTTAGCAAGGTGACTCACTTAGCTTCTGACAGAGCTGATCTTTGCTCTGTCTGTAGCAGGTTTGGTTACTTCTGTGGAGTTCTCTTATCCCTTTGAGTCTTAGTTTCTCTCTATTCCCTATGGAGATTCTCCTGCTATGTTGAATTGCTGAAAGGAAAAATCATTAATGTACTGAAGAAACTCCTCTTGCAGAGACTAGGGTGGGCTGCAGTGGAAGAAGGATTAGTTACATTTTTAGTAACGGTGTAAATAAGTGGGTGACAGAAGAGCCATGTAATTGTACAGTTACTGATCCTTCCACTTCTGACCTAAGAGAGCTAGGGATCTATGAGTTTGACAAGAGCCTTCTGCCAGCTCAGTGATCTGTCACTGATAATGGAAATGGTATGTTTTACCTTCTTCACAAAGAGGATGAAAACTCCTGTCTATGTGAAATCTTTATCTTGCTTTTCTACCCAAAGCACTTTTCTTACTGTACTGGGTTGAATAGTATTCCTCCAAAATTCATGTCCACCCAGAACCTCAGAATGTGATTTATTTGGAAATAAGGTCTTTTCAGAGGTAATTAGTTAAGTTAGAATGAGGTCATATTGGATTATGGTGAGCCCTAAATACAATGACTGTGTCCTTGTAAGAAGGTGATGTGAACACATAGAGACACACAGACATACAACAGGAAAAATGCCATAGGAAAATCGAGGCAGAGATTGGAGTAATGCTGCTACAAGACAAGAAACACCATGGGTTACCAGCAACCACCAGAAACTAGGAAGAGACAAGGGAGGATTCTTCCCTAAGCACCTTAAGAGGGAGCATGGCCCTGCAGACACCTTGATTTCAGACGTGTAGTCTCTAGAACTTTGAGAGAATAAATTTCTGTTGTTTTAAGCCACTCAGTTTGTGGTTATTTTGATACAGAAGCCCTGGGAAACTAATGCATGTACTTTTATCGGCCTAGTTAATTCTCATTCCTGTTTTTCAGAGGACATATAGGCATGTGCCTAAGAAGATAGCCTATTCTTTATACCCTTTCCAAGAGGAAGGAGCAGAAGTGGCTTGAGATCTTAGACCCTTTGCTGAGCATTGTTATAATAGCTGCTTTAAAATCCTGGTCCTCTAATTCCAAAATCTGGGTCATTTTAAGATTGGTTTCCACCTCAAGATTGATTGCCTTTCCTCCTGAGTATGGACCATATTTCCTAGTCTTTGCATGTCTAGTAACTTTGGATTGTATCCTGGATATTGCAAATGATACATTGTTAAGTCTCTGGATTCTGTCATATTCCTCCAAAGAGTGTTGATTTTGTTTTGTTTTAGTGAGTACCATATTTCTACACAAATAACACACCCTTCTGTGTTTGTTTGCCAGCTGCGCCCTCCCCCTGTGAGGCATCCTCACAGGCACTGCCATGACAATCCTCTTCCACATGTTGCTGTAAAAAAATAGCATAGCGTGCTTACAAAAATACCTCGTGGAGGGAGGGTGCAGCTGGCAAACAAACGCAGAAGGTGCATGTTATTTTTGAAAAATATGGTAATTAACTTGGCCAGAACTCTGTGTCTCTTGCAGTAGTTACCAACTGAAATCTCTGTTCAATTATTTGAATTTTAACTGGGCTGCTTGATGTCTGCAGTGCCCATGAATAATTCAGGGTCAACTGGAGATTTGCATAGTTTATATTTAAAATTTAGTGTCCCCTCCTTGTGGCGCTCTCCTTTCTAGGATGTTCCCCTTTACTTTTCTGCTGCTACACTAACCCTAAACTCTCCCTTCTGGTTCTTTAAGCCAGTAAGAGTACAGGTTTCGATCCAAGACATGGCACTGATTGGGACCCACCCTTGGCAAAAAGCTAAAAATTGGGTAACTCACCTAGTATCACTTTCTTCTTCCAAGTGTCAACACCCTCCAGTTTCTGTCTGCTTTTGGTCACTCTCCAGTGCTTTCATAAGTTGTTTTCTATATTTTATGCAAATTTTATAGTTGTTATCTGGGGAAAGTTGGTCTGTAAGATACAACTCTGTCATTACTAGCATTGGGACCTCTATAATTTTTTAAATATTATGAAGTTGAATGCCACGTCAGTAAATAAATGATGGCTTATTCAATAAAAATGCTGGGAAAATTATTGGTTTATTAATTGGAAAAAATAAGTTCCCTATTTTATAGCATATATATATATGTATATATGTGTGTGTGTGTATAGTCCTGGTGGTGCCATGGTTATGCATTTGGCGCTAACCAAAATGTTGGCAGTTCAAATCCACCAGCCACTCTTTGGAAACCCTATGGTGCAGTTCTACTCCATCCTATAGGGTTGCTATGAGTCAGAATTGACTCAGCGACAATAGCTTTGGTTTATATAAATAAATAAGTAAATAAATAAATACACACACACACACACACACACACACATATATATATAAATAATTGAAGGTGAAAAATTGTGGCAGACAGTGTTGTCTACTCACTTTCCTTTCTTTAATAATAAAGCCTGATTTTGTTCAGGACTGAAATGTGATCAGATAAAATTACTCATCTCCCCAAGATACCCTTGCTCCTGTGGGTGGTGTCAAGGATTGAATTGTGTCACCCCAAAATATCTCAGTTTGGCTAGATCATGATTCCCAGTATTACATGATTGTCTACCGTTTTGTAATCTGATGTGATTTCCCTATGTCTTGTAAATGCTATCACTATGATGTAATAAGATGGATTAGCAGCAGTTACACCAATGAGGTCTACAAGATTAGATAATGTCTTAAGCCAATCTCTTTGGAGATACAAAAGAGAGAAGTGTGCAGAGAGACACGGGGACCTCATACCACCAAGAAAACAGTACCAGGAACAGAGCACGTCCTTTGGACCTGAGGTTCCTGTGCTGAGATGCTCCTAGACCAAGGGAAGACTGATGCATCACAAGGACCTTCCTCCAGAGCTGACAGAGAAAGAAAGCCTTCCCCTGGAGCTGATGCCTTGAATTTGGACTTGCAGCCTACTAGACTGTGAAAAAATAAATTTCTCTTTGTTAAAAGCCATCCACTTGTGGTATTTCTGTTATAGCAGCACTAGATGACTAAGACAGGTGGGCATGTGAACTAGTTCTTGACAATGAGAACAGGTGAGGTTTCCAGAAAAGATACTATTTTCTGATAAATAGATAGATTTAGGTGGTATGCAACTTTTACATTTTACCCTTCTCTTTTCTTCCTAAATGGAATTAAGATGTGATGCCTAAAATTGCAACAGTTATCTTGTGAGCTTGAGGGTAGAATTACATATTAAGGGTAGAGGAACAGAAATGTAGAACAAGCTTGGATTCTTTAGGGTGTGGTCTTAGTCATCTTGTGCTGCTATAACAGAAATACCACAAGTGGATGGTTTTAACAAGAGAAATTTATTCTCTCACAGTTTAGTAGGCTAAAAGTCAAAATTCAGGGCATCAGCTCCAGGGGAAGGCTTTCGCTGTCGGCTCTGGAGGAAGGTCCTTGCGATGCATCAATCTTCCCTTGGTCGAGAAGTATCTCAGCGCAGACACGTCAGGTCCAAAGGACGTGCTCTGCTCCGGGCACTGCTTTCTTGGTGGTATGAGGTCCCCAATTCTCTGCTTGCTTCCCTTTCCTTTTATCTCTTGTAAGATAAAAGGTGGTGCAGGCTACACCCCAGGGGAACTCCCTTTATGTTGGATCAGGGATGTGACCTTAGTAAGGGTGTTACAATCCCACCCTAATCCTCTTTAACATTATAATCCCAAAATGGAGGGCAACCACACAATACTGGGAATCATGGCCCAGCCAAATTGATACATGCATTTTTTGGGGGACATAATTCAATCCATGACAGGTGTCATAAGTCCACAAAACCAGCGCTGAACTTTTTGTTACGAGAGAAAAAGAAATCCCTACGTGTTAAGCCAGTAAAAGTGAGATTTTTGTTACATATGCAGCAGAATGCAATTTCTGACTGACACAAAAATAATTCAGTTAGAAAAATAAGATAATGTAGGTGAATATTTATCAGATAATTAGTTTTGAAATATCTCTAATAAAAAAGCTAAAACATAAAGGCAAAGAATATCTCATTATACAAAAATATAAAATTTCCGTACGTCAAAACAGTAACTATAATAACATTACTATAATGGTAAAGGAAAAATGATAAAGTAGGAAACCATTTGCAACATATCAGACAGACACAATCTTAATATCCTCAATCCTTAGTATATACAGCACTTACAAATAATAATAAAAAAAATGCAAACACTCCAGGGAACTTTTTTTCTTTTCTTGTTTGGTTGGCTCAGCATCTCTTTAGGGAACTACTTCAACCCCATTCTCAATCATGAGTTTTAGGTTGGGATAATTCCACAACCAAGTTTCAGGGATGGATGTGTGATATATGGTGGTCAATCAGAGTATCTCATACCACTAGGCATACTGACTAGTCTAGGAGTGGGCCAGTGACTCAAGCAGGGCTGCAGTACACATTCTTAGTTACCTAAACAACATTTAGTTCCTTTTCTTCCTTTGTAACAGAACCCCAGTTTAATGCATGTTTCCACCTGTTGCTGAGACTACTGGTTATCTCTCAATATATCTTCTGCCCTTCTTCCTTAGTAGTAAACCAGTTGTCATTGAGTCGACTCCAACTCATGGTGACCCAATGTGTGTCACAATAGTACTGTGCTCCACAGAGTTTTCAATGGCTGATTTTTTTTTGAAGTGGATTTCCAGGACTTTCTACCATAGAGTAGAACATCTGATTTTTAGGTGGGCACATAGTCTCCTGGAACAAAATCCATAGTTTTTATCAGCCAGACGTTGCTAAATGACTATGTTCTGTCCAATAGGATGTCAGAAGTATATCGTGATTTCTGGGACATGTCCTTAAAGAGAGAGATCAGGCTCTCTCTTCCCTCTCTTCCCTCCTTTTTGGTGCCTGCAAGTGGGTGTGATGGCTGTGGTTTGGGAGCTATCTT